GTAGAATGTTTGAGATTGTTGTTGCTTTGGGTGTTACTCTTGTTTTTTTCTCTGTAACGTGTTGTCCTCTTGGTTGTCGCTGGTGCAGTCCACCTTCGTGCTGTTTGTCTAATCCGTGCCAATTGTTCAATGTTTTAACTGTTTGCGAAGCGGCCCATAGCAACATCTCGTCATTTCAAAGTATTGTTATAAATACGCGAAAACGTCATCCATTGCTCATGAGGTTTTACGTGACGTTATTTCAACAGAGATCGACTGAGTTGATACCTTTAATAGTAACACCCACATTGTTTCCACATACTTTTAGAAAAAAGTCTCTGGGTAATAGATTAATTTACGGATTATCAGTCCTTCGTGAAATGGTTTTGAAAGTCGCCAAGGTTCTCAGCTTACATAATTAATTCACTCGGGACAGGCAATCAGTAATTCCTCGTATCCGTAGGATATTTTGTGATTATTCATTCTTTGTCCATTTATCAGGGCGGTGACACGTGAGGAGGGGTATAAACTGTCTTTACTGGGTCACTATTGTCACGTATGGTTAATGCAAAGTCATGCTCAACCTTTGGGTCATAAGGTACAGGTCGCTTTATAAATCTAAAGATGACAGTGGGCGTTTTTTGCGTTCACTTACCAATTCAACAAGGCCATATCCGAAGTAAAAGTCAATTTATCGTCGAAATGAACTGACGATGCCGATGAGCATCTTCTTCAAGTCATATTGTCAAGGATAATGCTGTTTATTTGTCACATGAGAAGCGATTTTTTATTCCCATTTTGTAACAGCTCGCGTTTTCCTTCCAGCAGCGTTATTAACTATGACATTGTGAAATCGAGGGATACATCATTTAATGTACATGCTTTTATGCCTTGTGTAGAAAATTGGCACACTAATATGTGAAAAATTATGTTGTTTTCTTCAATAATTTTTATTTCAATATGTGGTTATTAAAAATGTTGATTAGACAGACAGACAGGTTTATTTGCATTAAAGGCCGCGTGACCTAAATTACAAAACTTTTTACATCATGATTTGCGTTACCACATGAAGATATACAAACTCAAATTAACAAAATTACTTATTAAGCGGAACCGTTCTTAAAAGTTGTGTTAAGGACTTGGTAAATGGCAGTAATACATTCATATCTGACGAAGTACATAGGCTTTTAAGTGAACAACAGAGCTTGTTTGACAATTTAGGTAATAACAGCTTACACTCGTCTTCATGATATTTACAGACATATACAACATGAATTTCATCTTCAATAGCGTTGCAATGTTCACACAGAACATTATGATCGGTCAATGTTGATACACCCTTACGTAGATGCTGCACACCAAGAGAATTATAGCCATTTCTAAACTTTGTTAATGGACGTTTGTACTCCCAGGGCATTTCAAGAGATAAATATTTTTCACAATCTAACAATGATTTCTGGGTTTTATAAAAGGTTAATACATTTGAGTCTAAGGAGGCAAAACTGTTGATTATAGGATTATGTATATGTCCCCCTCGTACATCCATAGTAAAATGGTTGGTTGGTTTCTTGTTTAACGCCGCACTCAGACATATTCCAGTTACATGGAAATATTTATATGTAAATAATCGAGTCTGGACCAGACAATCCAGTGATTGACCACCCGATACCGTTAGTCGCCTTTTACGGCAAGCATGGGTTGAATACAACGTGTCATAACAAATTGTGAATACAAAGTTTGACCACAAAATGTGAATACAAAGTTTGACCACAAAATGTGAATACAAAGTTTGACCACAAAATGTGAATACAAAGTTTGACCACAAAATGTGAATTCAAAGTTTGAACACAAAATGTGAATACAAGGTGTGAATACAAGGTGTGAATATAAAGTGTAAATATAGTGAACATTCACCGTCATGTTATATTCGAACATGAATTGAATGATTGAGATGTGTACATAGACTATTTGAGAAAGAGCTGAATACTCTCTTGACAGACTAGCAGCATCATTAATAACAATCACTGGGTGAATTTTTTTCCACGATTGACATCATCCATTTTTTGTTTAACGTCGCGATCAGCAATAACCCAGGTTTATGACGTCGGCCTATAAATCAATTTATTCGCCTCTTATTACAAGCATAAGTTGCAGGGGAGTCCCTACGTTGTCATACATTTTATTCTGGGATGAATGCCCCAGATAGTGCAATGAACCTGCGGACAAAGCCTTTTCTTCTTATCAGCTCGTACATGTTGGTAGGCGGGATGGTACTTCATACTGATTGATTTATATCACCTATCATAAAAAAATAACATACAGTTTCTATATGGTCTGTGTGCCCTGGATGTCACTATCTCAGATATGCCTCCTTAATGCTATTCAAGGCAGGTGTGTATGTGTTTTTGTTTGTTGTTTAACGTCGCACTCAGCAATAGTCCGTCAATTTGGAAGTGGCCTGTAGGTAATCGTGTCTGGACCAGACAAACCAGTGATTGATGTTATGGGAAACGATCCACGCAGCGATCAACCAATATAGTCCATGAAATCTTACATTACAAAATACCCTCCTCTCCTCTAAAATTAAAAAAAGATGCTGATTTCATATAATTGTCCAAATGATGATTTAACATGACTAGATTTGATTTTGTATATCTATTGTTTTCATAAAAATATATTCATATATATATTCCCCAGTCACGGTGCAGGACTATGATCGACCGGGTCTATCCATGCTATCAATTTAAAATCTCCTGTTGCAATCATAGATTGGTGAGGGACCTAAATTGACCTTTGTTACATGTCCCAGATAGCAAAGGCTTACATATACCTACGGTCACCAAACTGTCTTCTTATCAGGTTGTGCGGGTTGTTAGGCGGGGTGGTACTTCAAACTCGATGATTTATATCAACATCCAGGTTACATAAGTACAAACTGTTCATCCGAAGAAGTAGAGGGTGAATAACATGTCTTACTTATAGGTGAAACGTATTCCCATTTAAGGTATAAATGTCTCCCCATGTTGCAAGGCATTTGTAAAGACCGTCTGTTAATGATAAATCTGCTAAACTCTGAAAATCCTGATATGATCCATGCTGTTTCTGTATTCTTAAAACATGACTGTATAATGAGGAATGTGTAACTAGATTTAAATCTAATCATGTTCATCACGTGACAAATGTTAATATCCAATCTGCACTGTACTATGGGTCCTGGTGCCTACATTACTGAATAAACTGTCTGTCTTTATATTTTTCACATTGTCCGTGTGTGGTTGATGCTCCTGTCTCAAATATGTCTCTATAACTCTCGCCAACAGTGTTTATAACTTCGTTAACCCAAAGTCACTCTCTCACTGCATCTATCGATTAAGATAATTACAGAAGGCCTATTTCAGGTTTATGGACATGCCATAGATTTGTTAATGGGTAGCCGAAAAAGAATAACATAAGATTGTGCCATTCGGGTTAAGAAAAATGAACTGATTGTAGGCATAACTGGTTAGCCTTACCACTGTTGTCTTCCAACAGTATACCCTGCCTTGCGCATACAAAATATTGAGAACAGATGACCTTCACCTTGAAAATCTACTGTGCCATATAGAACCTGGGTCAATTATGTGTGCCAATTTTGAACTATCAATTACCATCTGTTGATTATTTATATGATATGCAAAATCTAAATCTAACATCACTTTCGTTAACTTTCTTTTTTTGCAGAGTATACATTAAATGTGAATGGACAAAATAAATATAAAAAGGATGAATGTATATTTTAAAAAACTGTCTGACAGTGTCCTTCTCATTGCACTTGTAACAAAACGGCTTCAGTTAATTTATTTAAGGCAGACTCAATAGTGACATCGACCTTGTTTGTATCGACACTCTATTTGTTGCAATATACGGTACAAGTGCACATTATAATTTCAACAGCGATGTTTACACCGTTGTCACTGGTGCTACACCATGGCTGTGGAATATATGGTTTTTTTTATAACTCAAACCATCTAGATTATACAAAACCAAGTCTAGCCAGATCTATTACAGAGTCAGTTTTTAGGAAGACAACAACAACAACAACAACAACAACAACAACTTCAAGAAACACGATAATCTGGGCTAATCCAACACCCCGGATTATTATCATCAGAGTGAGTGTGCTTTATATTGCAGGGGACGCCCAAATGGGCTTCCCCCTATGTACCCATGTGGAGAGTCGAACCCGGGCGCCCGGCGTTACAAACGAACTATTTAACACCGAGGCTAGCCCACCATCTTCCGATTAATATCAGAAATGAATAAATGAAGAGACAGACAGACAGACAGACAGACAGACAGGAGTTAGTGTACTGTGTCTAAGTAGGGCATTAAAACTGCGGCATGGTGTCTCAGTTGGCTTGCAAAATCGGCATTAGCCTGAACTAGTACTAGTACAGACAGACACACAGAAACACACGCACGCTCGCAGACGTCGCTTTGTAAAAAGACCATATCTATATTGTCCGTTGTGGCTACACCATACTTAAACTGATTTTTGGATCAGAGACCGAACTAACCAACATGAGAATGACTTGTCTGACTTGTCATTTAGTCGTGACAGGATCCCCTAACCGTGAGATCGAATCCTAGATGAGGCAATGTTCATTCATATGTTCTTCACATGATTCACATCATAGGTCTTCAGCAACCCATGCTTGCCGTAAAAGGCGACCATGCTTGTCGTAAGAGGCGACTAACGGGATCGGGTGGTCAGGCTTGGTTGATACATGTCATTGTATCCCAATTGCGTGGATCGATGCTCATGATGTCAGTCAGTGGATCCAGGGCCCCGTTCCACAAAGCGATCGTAGCCCTACGACAGTCATAAGTCTATGTTAAAGGATGGTAGTTACGATCGTCTTAGAGCTACGATCGCTTTGTGGAACGGGGCCCAGACTCTTATTTACACACCGCCGTCATATAACTGAAATATTGCTGAGTGCGGCTTTAAACAACAAACAAACATGATCGTTTAAATATTAATTATAATATTATATGACAATGTACATTGCAAGTTTTTTGTTTCAATGGGTGCTTTCAACTTACGATATTGAATAAATGTACATCACACAAATAATAAGGATGTACACTGTAAGAAGTTGTTCTTTTTCAATCCGTTTTACGAACAGTTCTTATCTACGCTACCATAACCAGCAGTCGGGGATTGGGCCCCTGTTGCTATGGGAATTTTGTGCTTTGAAACTGCTTTGGGTGAATTTCCGGAATTAATTTCAGCAGTTGTGGCGTCTTTGGTCACTTTGGAATAAATCTCCACCCCCGTGTATAACACCATCGCGACGGCAAGTAATGATAGCACAAATATAAGTTTTGTCCTCAAGCAAACAAATTCACTGAGTACGAACGTAACAGTAAATCCGATAGCTTTCCATGTGACAAAGTTGGCAAAGGCGGGTTCCTTGTTGTCGGGGAAGAGCAGAGCAATAAGTGCTGAAAGAAAAAATCAAATTCATTGAACCGTGGAAATATTATACAAGTTATATTGTCTGGTACTCCACAACGAATCCATAGACAAGTGAATGAATTAATGTATTAAATAATACTCCTTAAACCAATGATTCCTTTCATAATAATGCCTGTTTGCTTAAATTTGGATCGGGTGGTAACAATACCCGACTTTGCTGTTTGAGTGCCTTTTACATGGATAGATTGGTAAAGGATTAGAATCATTGTCTTACAGGTCGCTGTGATATTGCTGTAATCTGAAACACTCAAACACCTGAAGGCAGTGATATTAATGCAATCGAATAGGAATAGGCTATATCTTGTCGAACGATATCATTGGCAAATCTTTTAACATATATGTAGACTACATAATAATATTGTTTAAGTTTAATACAATAGAAAGACAATCTTACAGTTTGACTGCGTCTGCCATATGCCTTCCCCCATACCCCACACCATTGGCACCATGAAGATGTATTTGGTGTCGGCTTGTGTGGGTGTCCATAGAAACAGCACGGTAAACAGTCCAGCTTGTGACGAGGCAGCAGCACAAAACAGCAAGTACCGACCAGTGTACTTGGCAACTCGACTGAACAGTAATGCCGAGAGAGAAGTGACAACCCCGTACGTTGCCATGACAAACCCAACCATGTGTATTCCGATAGGGCAGCTGACATAGGACTGTAAAATAAGATTACAACACGAAAGTCGACCTGAAAACATAATACTAATGATGATGAAAGTCTCACTGAAATTTTCGTTCCTTTTCCAACAACTGATCATGAATATCTCTTATCGGAAACGAACATTACTAGAAAATTCTGCGTGAAAAGCCCAAACATTGCAAGAAAGATTTTGAAATTGAAATTTTGACTATGTTTTATTAGATTACCATTTTACGAAATTTGTGTTGGTCAGTCTTCATCCTAATAAACACCTGCACACTTTTAAACTTTAATACAAACAGGGACGAGTTATGTTCTTTCACAAAACACAAAATGATTTAAAAGAACATATGACAGTAACTTCTGCTTTTGAGTTCAGATGACAATTCTAATATAATACGACACATCACAATTTATTGTGCTTACTGACTCTCAAAGTTTGGATAACATTTAACGCGCAAGTTACTAAGTCGATCTGAGTGATACAGAAATGTTTGCACAATACATTGATTTATTGATATATATTTGTTCAATCTTACCAGTGTGTAGTCTCCCCATAGCACTGCTTGTTCAACAGCCTGATACATGATGAACGGAACAAGGAATATCATTTTAGATGTAAAAAGAGTAACGAAAAGAGAACTGAGAGACCCTATTAAGCTGGTGTTGGCACTCCAATTACTTTTGGGCAACGGTGGAAGAAAAAACACCGTGATAACCAAAGCCGTAATGTCAAATGCGAGATATATACCCAGCATAATATACACTTTCTCACTTCCAGGTGTGGCTATATCAGTTCCATTTGAAGCCAAAGGACAAAAACCAGGCCCACAAATAGCTTCTGTTGTGCCATTTGTGTTCGTTCCTGTTTGAAAGACAAGTGACGACACTAAGTTTCCCGGGATCTGGGTTGTTTCATATACCGTAAAGAACAGTCCATTCAGTTTACTGAGAACAGTGTAGGTGGATTGTCCTGTAGAACTGACAAGGGAGAAGGAACACATGGTGGTGTAGATGCTCTGACAAGTCCACAGAACGCCGGACATTGTCCCGAGAATAACGGAAGAAGGAATGAGAGTAAAGAATGCTGGATAAAAATTGGATCCGGTGTAAATAAGATGACATATCCATGACAATATAATTGTATTTTTCACTCCGAACCATCGAATGACAGCTGGGGACAAGATTCCGGAAAAGACAATACATGCATACTGCACGCTGAGTGAAATCGTTCCCAATCCGGCCTGTTGATTAAGGCTGCTCTGTAGATTCTGAATCGCTAAATACGCAGTAAATGCTGCCAAAAAAGATGCTGCAAGCACTCCACAACTTCTCGTCTCCTTCCCTTCGATGGCAGGCTTCGGTTGTTCATATTCTTGGGTCATGTGGGTCGTTGTTTTAGGTGTTGGAGACGTTTGACAAAACTCAAGGATATGTTTCAAATGATTGCAACTGGTGTCTCCGGGAGGATGTTTCAAAGGGATTGCTGACTGTCTCCGGAAGAACTGTTTACACTTGATGTATACATTGAGAGGACAATATCACTAATGCGTCAATGGCGACTGATAGTCAACACTGTATAGAGTAGCCATACCAACATGTACACACTACCTCACACATCTAATCTCTTGAATGATATGACTGTTATCTGTGCCACTCGTGCTTCATCAGTGGGTTTGAGGTAGTTGTCTTGTGGATGGAATATGCATAAGCATGGTTAACTGTACATGTATGTGCAAAACATCAAATTACAACTTCCCAACGCACGTCACAAGAGGCTCGATACATCGTGAGCTGCAATTTATTATCAAAATGATTTAAATACATATCCGTGTTTTGAACCCATTTAAGAACAGATGACTATAGTTAGTGAGTATGGACTTACGCCGCTTTAATCAATATTGGATATAGATATATATATATATAAGGTACTAATACACGTGCACACTATATCGTCTTAATGAGTTGGATTTAATGCTGCTTTATTTCAGTTTATATCATGGCGTGTCAACTTGATGTGAGAGGAAAGCCCGAAGTGAAAGACGTTTACTGCTCTATGGATCCTGAAGGTGCTGTAGGCGCTGCAAAGAAGCTAAAACAGCTTCTCGACATCTATCCCTCAAACGTACAAACATGGGTTGTTTACGTTCTTTGGTCGCTGTTTCAGATGTTGGAAATATTCGCCAAAACTCAAGGATGTTGTTCAAATAAATTTCAGCTTAATACAAAATCCAGAAGAAAATATGAATGAATTCAGTCTATCAATATAATAAGAGGAAAAACTCTAATACATCCAGGAATTGACTGTTCTTCCCGGGATGGTTTTGAAAATCCCAGCTTCGCGTTCATCCCGGAGCAGTATCGCCCCTATTATAAACGCTATCACATAGGACTTTACAAGAAGGATATGTCGATTATGTATGAGACACATACATGTGTTATCAGCCTACATTGTTGTAGATAACTAAATGTTTCGCCGCGTTGTTTCAGTGAGACTCATCCCATCAAGGTACAAAGGGTTTATGTTGATTATAACGCCACTCTACAAATATATGCACTGGCCAGAACAATACAACACGGGTGAGTACAAAAACTTACCCTCAATCAGCCCCCACAAAACAATGATACCAAAAGGGTATGGAATACGATAAATCCTGTTGTCATCATTTTAATTTGAAATTCTTCATTGGTTGCTTCCACGTTATTTGGGCGTTTGTGTACGTTTAAAGCCACACACAGTAATAGTCAAACTATATAACTATATAGTGCTGAATAATCGATTCTGGAGCAGACAAACCAGTGGTTGATATTAAGAGCAATGTAATCCGCCGTCGGAGCAATGATGACAAGCAATAAGCCAAGTCGCCAAGCAAAGGTTCTGGGAAATTATTCTTTAAAAAAATGATAAACCTAATCAAGCTTGATTCTGGTGTATGAAGACCGCCTCCGTGGTCTAGTGGTAGAGTGGCTGCCCGGAGAGCGAAAGGTCCGGTGTTCGATCCCGGCCTCTCATACCAAAAGACGTTAAAAGATGGTACTCGTTGTTACCCTGTCTGGCGCTCGGCATTAAGGGGCTAAAACAAGGACTGGTCGGCTCGGAGTCAGTTTACTGTGTCTGAGTGGGGGTATTCATGTTAAACTGCGGCATGGTACCTCAGTGAGCTAGTACTATAAATCGGCATCAGTCCGGACTAGTACAAACAGCCACACACACACACGTGCATGCACGTCGCTATATAAGTGCAATAATCTTAGACGCGATGTTAGACCCCATTTCACCTCACCTCTGGTGTATGAGACACGAATGTTGTCCTTTTAGTAGCCTGGTAACCTTGACAGTTGATTGCATCTTATCTAGGTAACCGAGAACAAATACACACGTGTCAATGCACATTGAGATATAAAAATATGTATATAGCTACACAGTACACAGGTATTTATTTCGGTTACCATTTATTGTAGTACAATCAAGATCCTGATAGATGAATATTGTATTGTAACTTATCAAAATAATTATCACTCTCTTTAATTTAATTTTCCTTGACCTGTTTTGAAGCTTATTCATATAACTGACTTATAAAATGGCTTGAGAATGCAGATACATACTCATACACGATTCACACATTAGTATTTCATTGACACTTTGTTATCATTAGTCCTTATTGTTAATTCAGGAACATAAGGAATGATGACGTCCGAATCTGAAGACAATGGGAAAGACACAACGATAGAGGGCAAGGAAACCAGAAACTGCTTGATTTTGGCATCGGTCTTCCTCGCAGCATTTACAGCGTACCATGCCCTACAGAACCTCCAAAGCAGCCTTAACGAGGAACATGACCTCGGTGTATTCTCCCTCAGTGCAGTGTATGGAGCTTTCGTATTTTCAGGAATCCTGGCACCGACTGTTATACGATATTTTGGTATCAAGAGGTGTATTATTCTATCATGGGTGTGTCACCTCATCTACACCATCTCCAACTTCTACCCGGCCTTCTACACCTTGATCCCGTCGTCACTTCTCCTTGGGGGCATCTCTGGCTTCTTATGGACCAGCCAGAGCACGTACATCACAGCATGTTCTTATTCCCTGGCTAAAAGAACGTCGCAAGAAACTTACGTCGTTCTCAGCAAATTAACTGGTATGTTCTACTGCATTTTCCAAACCACACAAATACCTGGTAATTTGGTGTCCTCTCTGATCTTGAAACAAGGAACATATGACAATGTGACAACACAGGCTGTATGTGGCGCTGACTATTGCCCATTGTCCACGAACGGCACTGACATCTCGACTCCGGATCATGGAGTCGTCGATATTCTACTTGGAATATTCATTACATGTGATGTATTAGCTCTTGTCATCACCTTGTGTTTCCTGTCTCCTTTACCGAAGAGTGTCTGGATTGCGGAAGCCAGTTTGAAGGACTCGCTGTCCTCCTTCTTTGTGACTCTGTTTACCACAAAGTTCATCTTTCTTGTTCCTTTACTGTTGTACATGGCAGTGGTGGGGGCATTCTTCTTTGGAGATTACACAAGGGTGAGTACGGTATACGTTTACTACGATGTTGGCGGATGTGGACTTCCTATACAGTAAGTAGCGGTTATAACGAACTCAAAGGGACCACTTATTTTAGTTCGTTATAACCGTAGTTCGTTATAAGCATATATACAGCATATATACAACAAATGGCCGGGACTAAAAAATAAGTTCGTTTTTTCAGTCAGTTCGTTATAAGCGTGTTCGTTATAACCGTAGTTTACTGTACTTATATCGAGAGGTCTCGCTGGTCTGGTATATTCAGTGCCATCGTACTCCAACGACGTGGAACAATGTTCATTGTAATAACTACTGGTTTGTCATCGAATCCCCTTCCGCAACCATATAGAAACATGGGGCAGTTGGTGTTGTTTTTAAAAAAAAGAAAGACTCATAACGTGAATACATACATATAAATACAATGTAACATGCAACAATAGCGTGACGTCATATCGTTGTGTCAACCACAGTGAAACACCGTTAATCTTTAATCTTAAACCGAAATTATAACTACATTGTATTGACATTGCTCGGGTAACAATAATTTATTAATCCGGACGATAGCACTGGTAACGGTGCCTTCTCGATTGATGGAATTTCACTGCAATAAAATATACATTTGAAAATTTGGTGAAAAAAATTACAAACATGATCTCAGCGTTACACAGTCGCCGAAACACTGTAAATTAAGGTCCAAAACACAGTTATGATACACGTATAAAATACATCATCGAATCAACATTTCTTTTTGTTTCCTTTTCAACTACCATCAAACCTGGATACTCTCTTTGCAAGGCAGGGGCGGTCGGGTAGCCTAGTCGTTAAAGCGTTCGCTCGTCACGCCGAAGGCCCGGGTTCGATTCCCCACATGTGTTAAGCCCATTTCTAGTGTCCCTGTCGTGATATTGATTAAATTGTGCTGAAAGTGACGTAAAACCATTTTCTCTCACCTGTAGACAGTTTAGACTACATGAGTCTCCGTAACGAATGTAATACAACTTTGGCTGCGCAGCTCTGGTATTAATCATATTTCTGCATTTGCTGAATCTAAAAAAATATATATTTTCTTTTATAATAGTCCTACATCAGCTGCCCCATTGGGATCCACATGGTTGGGTTTGTCATGGCGGCCTACGGAGCTACAAATTCATTTGGATCTTTCGTGTCAAGTCGAGTAGCTAAGTATACCGGACGATATGTGTTATTTGCAACGGCGGCACTCATACATGCTGCTGTGTTTACTACACTCTACCTCTGGACGCCAAACGAGACGGATACGAAATATATAATCCTTTTGCCACTAGCCTGGGCAATCGCTGATGGTATTTTTATGACACAGTTAATAGGTAAGTATTAAGTTTAAAATCACCTAAAATAACAATCAATTGTACACAAAATTACTGATTTTTACTAATTTTCTTTCTGAATTCACCCACTTACTCGTTCGGAAACCTCGGTATCCTTTTGTTACCCTGTTAACGTATCACAACAGGCCACAATTTGCATGGCGTAAGTGCCTACGTCATTGGGGATCGGATGGTCAAACTGTGTTGATTGTGTGTCATCGTGCTCTGATGAGTGAGTGAGTGAGTATGGTTTTACGCCGCTTTTAGCAATATTCCAGCAATATCACGGCGGGGGACACCAGAGATGGGCTTCACACATTGTACCCATGTCGGGAATCGAACCCGGGTCTTCGGCGTGACGAGCGAACGCATTAACCACTAGGCTACCCGACCGCCCCCGTGCTCCGATGATGTGGACTGCTACTCACCGTTTCCAATCACCAGCTCGCTTGGTACAGTTTCAGTTATTATAGACCGACGTGATAAAGCTGTGCTATTTCTGACATGTTACACACTCCATACATAGATTTGTATCTTTAATTACCTGTACACCGTGTTACTATCGAAACCATCAGACATAATGACCTGAGCCATAGTAACCAAACTGTAAGATATCTGCAGAATAGAAAGCCCTAATATATATATTTATTATGCCTCAAAATGAGATTGACCATTCAGAGAGCAGAATTACTCATCCCCCATAAGCCCGTATACCGTCAGTATAAATCTAAGATCGTTGATACTGACCTAATGTGAGACCGTGTACCGTCAGTAACAGCCATCTTGGATTTTCCAACACCCACCTCACAAATTTCACATGGAAATGCTGGTACTGAAAATCGTTATTTGACACTGTTTTGTGTTTTACTATCATTAATTGTTATGTGCAAGGACATTATCTGTTTTTTAGATCACATTCGTGACTTTATCGATAAAGATTATAGTTAAAGTTTTAAACAAGGTTTGACCTCTAAGGTTTGAAGAGTGGTCTCCCTTTGACATCAGCAATGGCTGTCAATCGCTTTGCTTGAAGCACCGATGAGGAAATCTCTGATAAAAGGCAAAATGTGCGATGTGGATACCAGAGAGTGTAAGCTTTTAGGCATAATAAATTCCTTATGATGTCTTGATGGGCCTCGCCCAAATATGTTTCTGCTAACCTAATATGACACCGTATACGGCAACTAAAGACACCATAACTAATAAAACATTCACACCAACCCACAAATATATGTATATGTATATATAAAGTATAACATCTATGCGTTGGTATTTATTCAGTCTCAGAGAGATATTCATATGTTCATTAGGACCCCTGATTAGCAACAGTGGCAAAATTTGTTGTACAATACTAATCCTTTGTCCCTTTCAACCTTATTTAAAATTGGATTTAAAAGCAAGTCAATTACGTATATCCCAGGCTCTAACTGATAATCATACCTGGGACTGTACGAGGATCAGATACTAACATAACTCAAAAGAAAACGTAACAAACGTAAGGATTCCGCGCGTTAGAACACATTAACTTGCCTAGATGGATCAGAGAGTCAGACATGGTGTATTTGTACCTCGACGCTTGGCCCGTTGCTCATGATATCGATCACTGGTTTATCTGGTCAATAGTTATTAAAAGGCTGCGTGATGCAGCTGCTATGTCACTAAGAGTGGCGGTAAACAGCAAGATCCTTAACAAATTTCAAATGTTGCGTATTTCTAATTTCAGCGTTGGTTGCCCTGTACTTCCCAGACAAGAACGAACCGGCATTTGCAAACGTCCACACATGGATGTCCCTTGGTTCCACGCTCACGTTCGCTCTGAGCAGCATCCTCTGTGTTTATGTAAAACTATATACTATGTTTGCTTTGCTGGTAGTTGGAATGGGGATGTACGTTGTGGCGGAGATACTTTACAAAATGGAAACAAAGAAATACCTGAACATAAATGAATAAAAAATAAGTTAATTATACCCATTTTTTTTCTGATAATTTTTTCTATATGCCACAAGCTGCAATATACAGACGTCTGAAAGTAATGAATATTACTGTGCGGATATTGGCATATTACGGGCGCCTCTCACAACCGTTTAAGTACAAAGTGCTTTTGTTATGGTATAATATTTGTACTGATTTCCTGAAAATATAATTTTCATTGATAAGATGAAACGTGTCCTTTTTATTTCAAATACATGTGTACTATGAAATCTAGCTCAGGCTATAGTAAATATATATTCGATTTTCCTCCCCGCCTTCGTATTGTCAAACACCCCGCCTCAATTCATTTATTGTCAAGGCGTTTTGTTTGAGACAGAATATGTTTCAGGCAGCACTTCGAGATCTAACTGTTTTCTTTCGCAGCAATTCGCTGTGCGAAGTTGCGTCCCTTGGGCACACCGTAAACCTATGATCGTGGGTTCGAATCTCGGTTCGCCCCGATTAAGTTTGTAAGCACCCTACCCGTGCTCGTGGGTTTCACCGCACGGTAAACGTCTGAGACCTGCATCACTTAGGGCTTTCCTCACACATCAAGATGACACGCCGTGATATAACTGGAATAATGTTCAAACTCACTCACTCTTCTTCTCTGATTGGAGCAGTCAAATTGTGCTTGGACCCACAACACATTATTTACATAACATCCAAAGTGTCTAGTGAACGATTAACTTACATGTAACATCCGAGGACACACAAGTGTCCCATAAGCAACTTGCCAAAACAGCCCAAACCCGCTATGCTCAACGAATGGAATGCTTATAAATATATTCATTAAAGGTGCAAATGTGGACATTTCGTAAGCGAGAAGATTGCACTAGGAACGGTGGTCCCCGGGTTAGCAGAGTTCACTTTAATGCATGCCAAATACATTTTAATTTTTAAAATTCATTTGCATGCTATTTTCACACGCGCATATACAAGCACACGCACACATACACACAGACAGACCGACAGACAGGCACGAGTGTCAATGCGATTTAAGTATCGAGAGCAGATTGTTGATGTTTCTCCATATGCCTAAAGGTTCTTAATCAGTGAGAAACTGCTTTATTCAAACGTTTTTACTGTTTTACAAAACCATTTTCCTTGATCAAGCTTGTAATGTACAAGGCTGATTTCTTCGGCGTCCGGGTTCTTGCCGGGTCTGTAAAGTTGACTGAATATATACCGAACTTTTGGGTGTATCCACTGGCCCACTCGAAGTTGTCCATCAACGCCCATGCGGTGTAGCCCTGGACATTCACCTTGTCCCAGAGGATTGCTGGAAGAGATGTGTCCAAAGTGAGAAGTTACTACATGTAGGCATTTGTTTCCTATTTTAATAGGCTTTCAGCTTTCCCACCATTCGAACCAGTGTGTGAACCGCTGGTAGCATTGCTGAGATGAAGTATTACACACTCTCAATGAACACGGTACCATTGCTGAGATGCTGTAGTGTTGCTGAGATGATGTAGTGGTACTGAGATGAAGTATTACAGACTCTCAATGAACACGGTACCATTGCTGAGATGGTGTAGTGTTGCTGAGATGTAGTATTACAGACTCTCAATGAACACGGTAACATTGTTGAGATGAAATATAACAGAATGACAATGTCAAAGGTAACACTGCTGAGATAAATAAACTCGATTGTACCGGATATGACAGCCATATAGTCATCAGATATATAATCATACGATGCGTATCACGGAAACATATAACACTTCCATTACATTAAAGGCAGCCATCGATGGCTAATTCCAAGCGCTGCTTTGTCTCACAACGAGGCCCAAATGATCGTGTTATTTTCATTGTGCAGAAAAGAAATTACATTTTAGGTCACGTTTTACATTACGTCGTCTCGCCTTTGTGTATAGCTCGATGGCTTCCGTCGGTAAAACTTTCAAAAAGTTTTATGGTAGACATGTGGAGGACATTTCCAAATTTGACGCATCAGTGACAAAAAATGATGTCCGATGCAATTCCCTTTTTTGACTTATACCATATGGTCCCATGTTTTTCAGGTGAACAATTGACTTGCCTTTGCATGTGTTTGTGACGGGTACCAACATTGGGGCAGGATACGCTCTCCTTTTAGCGAACACCTGGTATCATTACTGTTTGATAGTGATTCATAAACACGTGCTCATGATATAGTCCGAATTGTACAATCGAATCGAGATTTCTATTGGATATGGAAAGAGTTTTGTCGCTTTATTCAACTAAAGATTGTTCGGCGTGTGTATAAGCGTTCACCAGGTTCTATACCCAAGGGCACAGACTTACCTTTAAGAAGTTCGTTGGTGTAGGATTTGTAGTACTGGACCCTCTGGTCATCCGCCAGCCCGCCAGTGTCAGCCGATCCACTTTCCGTGATGAAGATAGGGAAGTCGCCATAGTAATTCTTGATGAATTTCAACACGTTCCGGATTCCCCATGGATTTATGCTTAGCCATTCGGCAACCGTTCTACAGATAACAAAACAACACCACATTACTCCCTGGCCGAGCAACTGATCTTGTGGGGGCGGTCGGGTACCTAGGGGTTAAAGCGTTCGCTCGTCACGCCGTAGACAAGGGTTCGATTCCCCACATGGGTACATTGTGTGAAGCCCATTACTGGTGTCCCCCGCCGTGATATTGCTGGAATATTGCTAAAAGCAGCGTAAAACCATACTCACTCACTCACTCACTCACTGATCTTGTGAGGAATAGATTCGCAATATTGGAACATGGTGACCAGTAGAAAACAACGGCAAATTTGCAAAATGAGTGTGTGCAACATAATGTGTAGCACTGAAATCTATTATGTAAGAAATCGAAGTACTCTTCAGGTACGGAATGAATCTGTCCTTTGAACCGTATGCACTCCCTTCTCTATATTTATGTACACTTAAGTTCCGTCTACGTTTTGGAAATATCCACATATGACATTGATCTCATGTTGACAAATGAATTTCCAAGATACCACCGATTCCTGCTGGACAGTATGGAAAAGATAAATGTTTCTCCAGATGGTTGCAAGGTCATATGGTGTGATACACAGAGACTGAAGAAGTAACTGAAAGGATTGTCAAGTAGATATGGCCGTGGAGGAGTTACAAAACTCAACAAGGTGAGTTGAGGTGAAATGGGGTTTAACGTCGCGACCAAGATTATTGCACTTATATAACGACGTGCATGCAGACGTGTGTGTACTAGTCCGGACTGATGCCGATTTTATAGTGCTAGCACACTGAGATACCATGCCGTAGTTTAACTTGGATACCCCACTCAGAAACAGTATACTGATTTTGAGTCGACCAGTCCTTGTTTTAGCCGCTTAATGCCGAGCGCCAGACAGGTGTTACAAGTACGATATTTTAACCTATTTTAGGATGACGCGGTCGGGGCTCGCCGGGCGGACGCTCTACCACTACCACTACACCACGGAGGCGGTCAAAACATGCAACAAAAACTTACCTTTTTATACAGATTGTGCGAGTGGTGTTACCGCTAGGTTAGAACATGTTTAACCTTTTCGCGAACATCACATATGAATCATTCATATAATTTTCAACACTAGTTTGCCTTTTACGCCGAAAGGAGTCGGACAATCGAGGATGGTTATTCTCTGTCGTTGACGTGAAAGGTTGCGACATTCTATTTCGGTTTCTGTATTGCTATAGGAATATGAAATAGAAATATGTTGTCTCATTTAAAAAAAAAATAAGAAACGTTTTTCAAAATAGATTGCATAGGGAAATATGTACACACGCATGTAGCAACTGGAGTTCTGCCAGATGTATGTATGCTGCATGTCAACTTACTTGGGCCAACACATGTCTTTCCTAACCTCGGTCTCCTGGTCCTCCATATAGTCAGGGGTGGAGCTGGGGGAAGGGTTGTTCGCCACCAGGTCAGTCGTGTAGTGGTTCACACCCATGAAGTCGTAAGCCCCTGTCATGGTATATGATAAAGGGTAAGGTATAAGACTGTAGATCATTGATGTAATTCATGGACGCAATGAGAAGATAAGAAGTGACGTTTATCCCTAGATGCATTTCGCCGATGAGGGTAAGATTGGTAGAGGTATAAGCGTGTGGCAGGGTGCGGATATCTTTAGGCGAACACCTGGTATCATCACTGTTTGATAGTGATTTATGAACACATGCTCATGGAAAGTGGTTTGTCGCTGCTTTTATCATCATCATCATCATCATCATCATCATCATCATCCCCATCCCCATCATCACCACCACCACCACCATCAACATCATCATTATCATCATCATCATCATCACCACCATCACCACCATCACCACCCATCACCATCCATCATCCATCATCCATCATCATCCATCAATCATCATCATCAATCATCATCATCAACATCATCATCATCATCATCATCACCATCACCACCATCACCATCCATCAATCAATATCATCCATCATTATCCATCATCATCCATCATCATCCATCAATCATCATCATCAATCATCATCATCATCTTCATCATCAATCATCATCCATCATCATCCATCAATCATCATAATCAATCATCATCATCATCATCATCCATCAATCATCCATCATCAATCAATCATCATCCATCATCATCATCCATCATCATCATCATCATCATCATTTATAGTATTTAGTCGGAATCGTACAATGGATTTCTTATGATAATCCAAGGGTTTTGTCCCTTTTACTTTCATGTTGTACAATTTCAAAGACCAGAGGACCAACTGTACCGTTTGCCGTTACGCCTCTTTATTCTATTAAAGAAAATTAGCTTGCCATGTGTACCTTTGTTATTTTTCTTCTCCTCTGCACTGAAGACCGGAAGTCGGGAGTGTCTGAGCCCCTCCTGACGAGATCTGCGGTCGATGTAGCGCTTCATCACTTCTGGGTAGTCCCCGTTGCCATATATGGCGTTAGCCAACCAGCCAAGTTTGAAATGGAAAGCCCTGTGTGCTGCCTCCAAGTCGGCTGAGCTAGAGGTCATAGGTTCCTTCCACTCAATGTCAAGCGTAATGCCCACCATACCTGAAGCATGAGTGAGTGAGTGAGTGGGTGAGTGGGTTGGGTTTAACGCCGCTTTTAACAGTATTCCAGTTATATCGCGGCGTGCCAGCTTAATGTGGGAGGAAAGCCCGAAGTGATGCAGGTCTCAGACGTTTACCATTTCGGCGAAACCTACGGGCACGGGTATGGTGCTGACAAACCTAGAAACATAATCGGGGCGAACCGGGATTCGAACCCACAATCATAGGTTTCTGGCGTGGCCAAGGGACGCAACTGGGCTACCTGTGCCCCCGCCTGAAGCGTGAAGTAAAGGGAGGCCGTTGTGATGAACAGTGAACCGAAAATGTGTTGTTACTCACAGGACACAAGAAATATTTCCGTAAATCGAATTTTGATTGTCGCTGAGTTTGACCAACCGATCCATTAAGTCGCCTTTTGCGACAAGCTCAGATGCATATGTTGACAAGGAGCTGTTCTAATCCTTGTTTGTTTGTGTGTTGTTTAACGGCGCATTCAGCAATGTTCCTGCTATATGACGTTGATCTGTAAATAATCGAGACAGGATCAGACCATCCAGTGATTGATATTATGAGCAACGATCAACGCCGTCTGGGTACGATGACACGCAAACCGTCAAGTCACCACCGCCCCACCCCATCTATTAAGACCAGCAAGGGATGCTGGGGACAACGATCCTGACGATAGCAATGCGCTCTTGAAGATAAGGGGATCATTGAGATCGTGCATTAGATTATGTCTTGGGATAAAATACACAAAACTAAAACACGCTGCAACAGGGTTGCTAAGTAACCGCGGAGGTCATAATTAACCTCTAGATTCGAAAGAAACTTTGGCCTTTGTCCGGGATAATAGCTGCGTGTTTCTATAAAGTCGGTAATCATTTCCATTCATTTAGATTAACAAATATCCACTGATTATTGGATGTGAAAGGAGCTACCTTAGCGTAGAGATGAAAAAGATGCTGCTGGGAAGAATATAGGTCCCAAGCAGCCTGTGCGTGGCTCACTGTGGGGATTACGGGCAAGAATATAGGTCCCCAGCAGCCTATGCATGGCTCACTGTGGGGATCACGGGCAAGAATATAGGTCCCCAGCAGCCTATGCATGGCTCACTGTGGGGATTACGGGCAAGAATATAGGTCCCCAGCAGCCTATGCATGGCTCACTGTGGGGATCACGGGCAAGAATATAGGTCTCCAGCAGCCTATGCATGGCTCACTGTAGGGAGTACAGGCAAGAATATAGGTCCCCAGCAACCCATGCATGGCTCACTGTGGGGAGTACAGGTAAGAATATAGGTCCCCAGCAACCTATGCGTGGCTCACTGTGGGGATTAATGGTAAGAATATAGGTCCCCAGCAACCCATGCGTGGCTCACTTGGGATCACGGGCAAGAAAATAGGTCCCAAGCAGCCTATGCATGGCTCACTGTGGGGAGTACAGGCAAGAATATAGGTCCCCAGCAGCCTATGCGTGGCTCACTGTGGGGAGTACAGGCAAGAATATAGGTCCCCAGCAGCCTATGCGTGGCTCACTGTGGGGATAACGGGTAAGAGTATAGGTCCCCAGCAACCTGTGCTTGTCTCACCATGGAGAATAGGGGTAAGAGTATAGGTCCCCAGCAACATATGCGTGTCTCACCATGGAGAATAGGGGTAAGAGTATAGGTCTCCAGCAACATATGCTTGTCTCACCATGGAGAATAGGGGTAAGAGTATAGATCCCCAGCAACATATGCTTGTCTCACCATGGAGAATAGGGGTAAGAGTATAGATCCCCAGCAACCTGTGCTTGTCTCACCGTGGAGAATAGGGGTAAGAGTATCGGTCTCCAGCAACATATGCTTGTCTCACCATGGAGAATAGGGGTAAGAGTATAGGTCCCCAGCAACATATGCTTGTCTCACCATGGAGAATAGGGGTAAGAGTATCGGTCTCCAGCAACATATGCTTGTCTCACCATGGAGAATAGGGGTAAGAGTATCGGTCTCCAGCAACATATGCTTGTCTCACCATGGAGAATAGGCGTAAGAGTATAGGTCCCCAGCAACCTGAGCTTGTCTCACCATGGAGAATAGGGGTAAGAGTATAGATCCCCAGCAACATATGCTTGTCTCACCATGGAGAATAGGCGTAAGAGTATAGGTCCCCAGCAACATATGCTTGTCTCACCATGGAGAATAGGGGTAAGAATATAGGTCCCCAGCAACATATGCTTGTCTCACCATGGAGAATAGGCGTAAGAGTATAGGTCCCAAGCAACATATGCTTGTCTCACCATGGAGAATAGGGGTAAGAGTATAGATCCCCAGCAACATGTGCTTGTCTCACCATGGAGAATAGCCGTAAGAGTATAGGTCCCCAGCAACATATGCTTGTCTCACCATGGAGAATAGGGGTAAGAATATAGGTCCCCAGCAACATATGCTTGTCTCACTGTGGAGATTAGGGGTAAGAGTATAGGTCCCCAGCAACCTATGCTTGTCTCTCCATGGAGAATAGGGGTAAGAGTATCGGTCTCCAGCAACATATGCTTGTCTCACCATGGAGATTAGGGGTAAGAATATAGGTCCCCAGCAACATATGCTTGTCTCACTGTGGAGATTAGGGGTAAGAGTATAGGTCCCCAGCAACCTATGCTTGTCTCACCATGGAGAATAGGGGTAAGAGTATCGGTCTCCAGCAACACATGCTTGTCTCACCATGGAGAATAGGCGTAAGAGTATAGGTCCCCAGCAACATATGCTTGTCTCACCATGGAGAATAGGCGTAAGAGTATAGGTCCCCAGCAACATATGCTTGTCTCACCATGGAGAATAGGGGTAAGAGTATAGATCCCCGGCAACGGTGGTTTGATTGATGCCTGTTATCGCATCCCAATTGCGTGGATCGCTGATTATGACATCCACCACTGGATTGTCTTGTCCAAAATTGGTTATTTACAGACCATCGTCATATAGATGAAATATTTCTGAGTGCTGCGTTATACAACACACGTCAAACAAACACTCACCATTCTGTCGGGCTCTGAAGTCCTTGTCATACATCCTGTAAGTCTTGACGTGAGCCTTGATGATGTTGTGGGCGACCTGGTACACGGCAACACCCGGATCCTTGATACCAGGAGCGAATACCCCGATGCCATCCCCAAGCCAGGAAATGGTGACGACTTCATTAAATGTGATCCAGTGCTTCACCTGCATAGTATAGTGTCTTACAATATTTAATGTTTTAAATTTATATCATGGTGTCTCAGCATCATGTGAGGAGAGGGTTCAAGATTTACGCATTTTCATAGCGACTTGCGACATATGTGTGTGTCTGCTTTTACTAGTTCGGATGCATACCAATTCTATAGTGCTAGCCCACTGAGCATCAATAACCTACAAAGACACTTTATACCGAACTGACAAATTATGGTTTTATACCCTTATTGGTAGGCAGGGTAACACGTTCCATCTTTTAACGTCTTTTGGTATGACGTGACTAGGAAATCAAACAACCGACTTTCCGCTCTTCTGACAGACACTCTATCCACCAAAATTATTGTGAGAGGACATTCCACCGGGTCAGCTGGGAGTGTCACTTTTTCCAATATGAATTTAAAAGAATGTTCTCCGAATGAATAAAAGCCTCTGGCATTTAAGAGTGAGTGAGTGAGTATGGTTTTACGTCGCTTTAAGCAACATTCCAGCAATATCACGGCGGGGACACCAGAAATGGGCTTCACACATTGTACCCTTGTCGGGAATCGAACCCGGGTCTTCGGCGTGACGAGCTAACGCTTAAACCACTAGACTACCCGACCGCCCCCATTTAAGAAAATTATTCCTTCATGACTATTTGATAGTGATTATTAACACATGCTCATGACAAAGATGGAATCGTACAAATCTTATGATTTTGGAAATGTGTTTTTTCGTCGCTTTTAATCAATCGTAATTTTTGGGTTGCATTTTGCAGTAATATGAACAGTATTTACGTTACATTATAATCACATCATTTTCGGAAAACAATAACTTTATTAAATTGTTGTCAAAACTAAAATTATCATTCATAAACAAAATCTCTTTTCTTTTAGAAAAGTAACTGAATATGCGGAAAGTTGTAGAGTCTGATCCATTATAGAAATTATACATTGGGGATAATATTTGAGATGTTGAGTGAGTGAGTGAGTGAGTATGGTTTTACGCCGCTTTTAGCAATATTCCAGCAATATCAAGGCGGGGGACACCAGAAATGGGCTTCACACATTGTGCCCATGTCGGGAATCGAACCCGGGTCTTCGGCGTGACGAGCGAACGCTTTAACCACTAGGCTACCCGACCGCCCCTGATGATGTTGAGTAAATAGGTTGGTTCAACACTGCTTTGTAGAGTATTCCAGTTATATCATGGCGTGTCTGGACGGTCGGGTAGCCTAGTGGTTAAAGCGTTTGCTCGTCACGCCGAAGACTCGGGTTTGATTCCCGACATGGGTACAATACAGAAAGCCCATTTCTGGTGTCCCCCGCCGTGATATTGCTGGAATATTGCTAAAAGCGGCGTTAAACCAAACTCACTCACTCACTCATGGCGTGTCAGCTTGCGGGAGGAAAACCCGAACTGATGCAGGTCTGAGACGTTTACCACTTTGGTGAAACCGACGTGCACTGGTGTGGTGCTGACAAACCTAGAGACAGGGTGAATCTTGAATTCGACCCCACAATCATAGGTTTCTGATTCGTCTAAGAGACGCAACTCTGCAGAGTGCTATTGACCCCGGATGATATTTGATAAATACCTTGTCCCCGAAGTAGTGGAACATGACCCGGCTGTATTCTGTGAACCAATCAACGCTGGCCTCATTCATCCAGCCACCTTTATCCTGCAGTGCTTGTGGCAAGTCCCAATGATACAGGGTGACGAATGGTATTATATTATTGGCCAAGAGCTCGTTGATAAGATTGTCATAGTAGGCGATACCTTTGCTGTTCAAAGAGCTTGGTGTTCCGTCAGGCAAAATGCGACTCCACGAAATAGAAAACCTGTAAAAATTCACCTGAAACAGAAAAAAACGCCGCGAATTTAAAATTTCATTCTTTATATTGTAACAGCTGCACATGAAACGCTTATCAAGTTTGTTGTTATCTAGCAATGTTATCTAGGAAAAGTGGATGTGTTATTTATGTATTTGAAAGTACGTTGTATGGCGTTCAAGATGATATAAACTGACGTCCAAAAGAAACTTTACCAGAGTTTGAAATCACTCTTGCTCAAAAACAACAAAACATACATGCATGAAGTAATGTGTATTGAGAAGATCAATATATCAACATAATCAACACTGAAAATGACAATCATACCGCGACCGAGAATGACGTCAGAGCCCGCCAAAGTTGGGTGTGGTACAAAACTCGAGCTTTCAGAATCATGGACAATAGGCAGAGTACATAAACAATCGCTCACGTTCAATAACAAGACATTAGTAGCGTGTGTGACCACCAAATGCCTCAATACACGCAAAAACTCTTCGACGTACAGAAAAGTCAGTCGTCTGATTAGTTTACGTGGGATTTGACGCCATTCTTCTTGGAGGGCCAAGATCGGTTGGCTGGAGAAACTATGGTCGTTGTCGAACACGACGATCCATCAAGTCCCAGAGGTGTTCTATGGGGGACATGTCGGGTGAGCGTGCAGGCCACGGCAGGACGTTGACGTTGTTGGCTGCGAGGAAGTTAGTGACAATCCTGGCTGTATTGGCTCTAGCGTTGTCATGCTGATAAATGACACCACGTGGCTGCTGTTGGAGAAATGGTAGGACAACTGGACGAAGTATGTTATCCATGTAACGCTGAGCTGTCAAGTTTCCGTCAACGATGACCAGCGGTGTCCTCTCCTGCCCACAGATCTCTCCCCACACCATAACACTCCCTCCACCATATGGTACGACCTCCTGCACGCAACACGCCGCCGTTCGTTCACCCCTTCGACGGTAGACACGTTGTCTTCCATCAGCCCTAAACATACAGAATCGACTTTCGTCAGTGAAGACAACCCTCTTCCATTCACGCCGTTGCCAACGTCGCACAGTCCGGGCCCATCTCAATCACAGACCGCGATGTTGCGCTGTCAATAGCTGTCCTCTGTATGGTCTAAAAGCCCTGATTCCATGAGCCCTGAGTCTCCTGGCCACTGTCTGTCGACTAACCCTGTTACCTAAGGCATTTGTCGCCGATGACATCACTGTCAGGAAGCGATTTCGGAGGTGCAAGGTACGCAGGTACCGGTCATCATGGGGCGTGGTCACCCTGGGTCTGCCTGTTCTTGGCCTGTCAGCGGTCCGCCCTGTCTGTCTGTAACGTTGCATCAAGTTGGTAACGGCAACACCGGAGCAACCGAAGGTTCGTGCAATATGGGCGTGGGTGTCTCCCATCTGTACCATACCCAAGGCTCGTTCACGTTGTTCGACTGTGAGTCGTGGCATTTCTTTTGTGTTTTTTCTATCACTGTGGATGTCTGACTTGCCGTTGCAATCGTTTTATACCCTTACCCGCACGTGCATTTGCAGTTGTCCCTGGTGCACGTCTTTTTCACTTTTTCGCGTGTTATCTCGCAAACATGTAACAGACGATTAACATTTTCTGCATACACTATTGTTGTATTTAGGTTATGTGTTTTAGATAGACTTCATCGAAAAAAAAATAAAACTTTGTCTGAAATTTATATTTTCAGTTGGTAAAGTTTATTTTGGACGTCAGTTTAATTTTTAAAATTCATACAAAATGGCTTATCCTGCTTCTACATTCAAACAAGTCGTCTTTACAGATCTCTGGTTAAGCTATCGGAGATTACGGGTCAGAATATGTTTGACTGGTTTGACTCGCCCAAACTGGAATATATACAGGCCATTGTGAAATTGAGGGGCTGCTTACTTAATGAACACAAGAAATGAAGATAGCAATACGAAATCAGTGACATCTTTCAACGCAATAACTGAACACAAGCCCCGCCCATACTATTATCAACCAATCATGACTGTCATAGTTGTCTGTAAGTGGGCGTGGATTATTTCGTTTGGGTTTATTGAAACATATAAGCAAAATGATCATTGTCATCCAATCAAATTCCACGGAATCACATTCAATTTATTACTCCAAGTGGTTCACTGAAAGTGCAATGGTAACACTTACACCTAAGTCTTTCAGCATGCGAACATCCTCCTTATAATTGTGGTAGCTGTCGCAGGCAACGTCTCCAGTATCGTCGTTGGCAATGTTGCCTTTGATGTGAACGAACCTGTCCCATATGCTCTCCCCTTTTCCTGAAACCAAAAGCAAGATTTTATAGTTTACTCTCGTAAATTTACTCTCATGTTTCTGAAGATGACATGAACACTAGCCTTTCAAATAAAATACAAAACTATAATTACCGTCTTCGTTCCATCCACCTTCCACTTGATAGGAGGAAGTGGCGACGCCCCACAGGAACTTGTCAGGGAAATGGTCATAAAGAAATGTGTCTCTGTCAGCTGGGTCTGATAACAAACATAAATCATAGGTGAAGTGAGGTGAAAATGGGGTTTAACGTCGCGTCCAAGATAATTGCACTTATATGGCGACGTGCATGTACGTGTGTGTGTTTGTGTGGCTGCTTGTACTAGTCCGGACTGATGCCGATTTATAGTGCTAGCTCACTGAGATACCATGCCGCAGTTTAACATGAATACCCCACTCAGACACAGTATACCGACTCCGAGCCGACAGTCCTTGTTTGAGCCCCTTAATGCCGAGCGCCAGACAGGGTAACAACAAGTACCATCTTTTAACGTCTTTTGGTATGACGCTGCCGGGGATCGAACCCCGGACCTTCCGCTCTCCGGGTAGACGCTCGTCCACTAGACCACGGAGGGAGGCGGTCTCATAAATCATAGCATTCGCTTGATGTTAATTTCATGAAATATACACACAATTTGTTTTGGCGATGAACATGACGCAAAATGTCAGGAAGCATAGGGAGCAGCTACTTGATTTTCAGGGGTTGGGATGGATTTTTTCTAATAGAACAATCAAACCCTTGTTTTACTGGAACAATACTCAAGCCTCGCATTGCAGGAAAAGAACGATTGTGCCCTTATCTTGGTAACGATGTATCCAATGAACATAGGTCGTTATTTGTTTGTATTTATTATTAATGAAGCACCCGTTTAAGTTTGAAAAATACAATAATTATTAATCTCCTAAACATTAAAAAATATTAATTGCTCCCTTAAGTCCTTTGGTATTTCAGGAAGGGAGGGAGTGAATTGGTTTTAACGCCGTTTTGAATTCCTACAGTTATATCAAGACGAGTCAGCTTGATGTGGGAGGGAAGCCCGAACTGATGCAGGTCAAAGATGTTTACCACTTTGGTGAAACCCACGAGCACGGGTATGGCACTGACAAACCTAGAAACATATGGGCAAACCGGAATTTAAACCCACAATCTTAGGTTCTAGTCTGCCCAAGGGACGCAACTCTCCACAGTGAATTGCGGTGCCTTTGACAACTGCGCGTTGATGAAATATGCATACTGGATGTTTGAATTTCATCTGGACTTAAATGTAGGATGTAAGGATTTGATGCAGTAACGATAACGATACATTCATACGGCTATAGTGAATACAAAACCACCATCGTACGTACATGCTCTGTAGTTCTGTATGTCCTGGGTGAACCCCCTCTCCTTGTTGATCATCTGGTACAGCTTCACTGACCTCCGGGGGTACCTCGGTCTATGTGGGAGGCTGAAGTCCACATAGTAGAAGCCGAACTTGGTGGTGTAGCCTCCGCTCCATTCAAACGTGTCAATCAGCGTCCAGACAAAGTAACCCTTCACGTGGACTCCGTCATCGATAGCTATAAGAGGTAGATCATGTGAAAGTGAGTATGTTAGATTTAACCCCGCCGTTTTAGCTTATGGGGGGGGGGGGGGGGGGGGGGGGGGGGGGATGGGGGAGGGCAAAGTGATGCAATCGTCGACGTTTACCACCAATTGTGAAACCACGAACATGGGTATGGTGCTGATAAACCTAGAAACATGATAAGGGCGAACCGGGATTCGAACCCATGATCCTAGGTCTCTTGTACGCCTAAGAGACGCAACTCATTTTAATGAAAGATGGCTGCACCTGTACCCACGGAAGACAAGGTGCAATAGTAAGAAATAATTTAACACTTCAAAATTTCCGTGCACTGGGTTGCAGGCAGCATCGACCGGGAGATAGAATAACTCGCCCCATCTAACAATTGACATTTCTGTTTAATTGGCAATTTTCAAGAATTAGCGCCTGTCATGAGGTGTGCATATCTGTGAGTTCATGATACCTTTCAGGGCGCCGTTATATTACTGCACTGCTGTCCCAGGCGGCGTTAAAACCCAAGACACTCACTCACCTTTGACACGCCGTGATACTGTTATACTGGAATACTGTTAAAAGCGGCGTTAAAACCCAACTCACTCACTCACTCACTCACCTTTGAGGACGTTGTTGCTGTAGTCCCTGATGTAGTCAATGCGGGCCTGGTCTTCCATAGTGCCACAGTCCCCTTTGCCGTTCTCGGTGATGTACACGTCGATGTTGTTGTAGTTGTCTTTGATGTAGTTCAGCAAGCGCCGAATGCCCCACGGTACCATTCGCCACATTGTTGTATTGTCGTTTCTTAAAACAACATTCTCCATCATTGAAAACAAAGTTCATGATACCTTCCCTTAACATACTTTAAAAACTAAAAAACAACACCTTCAAAGACCCTCTGATCTTGTCCATTAAAGACAATAAAACATAGTGTCAGCCTACCATATTTAAACCTGAGTTCGAATCCCCTGTGAGCGGCATCTTTATGACCCCTTTGATCTGTTGAATCACTCGTTGATGAACATGATCTAAATCTTTAAGTGGCATATTAGAAGCAATAGTATCAATTAAAACAAAGTTGACCTGTTGATTTCAGCATCTTTAGCGACTAGTGTGTGAGTTCGGTTTAACGCCGCTTTTAACAGTATTCCAGTTATATCGCGGCGTGTCAGCTCAATGCGGTAGGAAAGCCCGAAGTGATGAAGGTCTTAGACGTTTACCACTTCGGTGAAACCCACGAGCACGGGTATGATGCTGACAAATCTAGAAACCTAATCGGACTCGAACCCACAATCATAGGTTTCTGGCGTGCCCAAGGGACGCAACTCTGCACAGCGAATCGTAGCGCCTTAGACGTTCCGGCACTGAGGCTAGAACAAACATGGTACCAGCATCTGCACACATCCCATTGAAAGAAGTCAACCCTGTCTTCAAGATCTTAAACCGTTGATCTGTGTGTAACAGATGTTGTTTAAGATAGTTGATGGACATCCATTAGCTATTTTAGTATTCGTATGACCAATAACACATATGAATAATAGTTTTAGCGGTTTGCGACAGCCCATATTTATCTCACTTTGTCTATATGAAGCTGTCATAAGCATCAAAATGTTAAAACACCCTTCATTGAATGTAGTTTTGTATCAAATTCATAAAAAAAGAGTATTGGAAATTAAAGAATAATCGAACCCTGGCCATTGTGGATCAAATGTGAATGTCACATCCTGGTCGTTAAAGTATCCAGGAGTGAGGTCGTTGTCTGGTTTGGAACTGATCATCTGTGTTGTGTAGTGGTTGATTCCAAGGAAGTCGGTGGCACCTAGAAATGAAGGAGATAGGAATTTTGACACCATTCATTACCGTATTACACATATCACAGCGTGGCAGCGTTATGTGGCATGTGATCTAAGACCTTTACCACTGAAACGCAAGCATGTGTTTTGTGTTGACCGAGAAACTTAATCAGTGCCAATCCGGGATTTGAACCGAGGATCATTAGTTTCTGGCACCTATAAAGGACACAACTCTGCACAGCGAACTGTGACGCCTTGAAAACTTGGCCAACGTTACTCCTCTTATAACAAGGAGAAGTCTAGACATTCACAACGACTATCCTACAATTTAATCTTGTGCATGCGTGGTTTAATCGTTCGCTGACTTTGCCAAAGCCCGGACTCAATTCCCCAATGTTGGTCCTGGTTAGTCTGGTGCCCCCCACCCTGATATTGCTCGAATAATTGCATGAATATGAATTCAATCCTCTCTCTACACCCAATAAAAAGGTGTATTTTTCAAAAAGATTTAGCACATTCATAGTAGGTACCCACATCAATAAGAAATGGAACTTGTTCCTTCTGGCAATGTATGTATTCTATCATAACACTAATGGTGTCCCTTTAACACGCCAGAAACCTATGATCGTTGTTCGAATCCCGGTTCGAATTCGCCCCGATTGTTTCCATGTTTATAAGCACCATGCCGTGCTCGTGGGTTACATAAAGTGGTAAACGTCTGAGACCTACATCACTTCGGGCTTTCCTTCCACATTAAGCTGACACGTCGTGATATAACTGGAATACAGTTCCAAGAGGCGTTAAACCAAAGTCACTCACTCACTATCAATAACAGCAACTCCCAAAGTCAGAATGACATTTAACATACCTTTATTTCTCTTCTTCTCATCGTCAGTAAACATGGGCAGCCTGGACTTGCTGAAGCCTTGCTGCTTGCTTTTGTAGTCAACCGTCTTCCTCATGATGGCTGGGTAGTCTCCAAACACAATGGGATTGGCGAACCATCCGAGTCGGAATTCCATGACAAGCTTGGCGGCATCTATGTCTGCTTGGCTGTCAGTTTTAGCTTCCTTCCATTCAGTGTCTATAGTCATTCCCACCTTGCCTGCAAATGTTAACACGTCATCGTTTAAGAATACAATAAATGTCATTCCTATAACGAGATTGAAATCACTTCTCTAAAACAGTCCAAGAGAGGACAATTTGATGCAAATTTGAACAAGCATTCTTCACTGGCATCCTGAGATACACCACACGAACTTTATTATATATTTGCTACAAAAGTTATACCTGGCCAAATTGGTGTCTTATGTTGGCATGTGCTCGAACCGGGGATACCATGCTGCAGTTTTACATGAATAACCCACTCATACACGGTATACTGACTCTGAGCCGACCAGTCTTTGTTTTATCCAGTTAATACCGAGCGACATTCAGGGTAACAACAGGTACCATCGTTTAACATCTTTTGGTTCGACGCGGTCGTACTCAGAAATATTCAATTAATATGACGGCAGCCTGTCAATAATCGAGTCAGGCCTATACAAACAAGTGATCCGCGCCGTCAGGCTACGTTCACACGCTTTCTACCCTTTCACCACTCTAGCCATTAAGTCTCCTCGTACGGTTAGCATAGGTTGCGGGGGACCAGTTCTATCTCTAATCCCCACGGGGCGGTATACTGTTTGTTACTTGCACTTATGACACAACATATAAAACCAAATAGTAAATGATGTAAACTGCCGGGCAAAAGAAAGTATATACTTGTAAACTTGATTTGACTAGCAATTACAAACGTTTCAGGTCTTTGAAAGGCATTTGGAAGTGATTCACATAAGGAAGAGAAAATATGGATGTCAACTTCTTTATTATGAGGAACACAACGTTCGGAGTATATGCTTACTCCTTCTTCAGGTGAATGATGAAGGAGTAAGCATATACTCCGAAAAGTTGTGTTCCTCATAATAAAGAAGTTGACATCCATATATTTTCTTCCTTATTACTAACGTTATGAAAACGTGACAGGCTGAAAACAGTCGCCGAAACACTGTAAACTCAAGATCCAAAATACAACCATGATACCCGTCAAATAGATCATTATTGTTTGTTTCATTTCAACCACCTATCCGTGAAGATACGAGTTAGAATAGGTCTTTACCATCTCATCCTTGTCGTAAGAGGCGGTTATGTTTGTCCTCAGAGGCGACGAACGGGATCGGGTGGTGTCATAGTATCCAAATTGCGTGGATCGATGCTTATGATATCAATCTTTGTATTGTCTAGTCCAGACTCGTTATTGACAGACCGCCGTCATATACCTGGTGTATTGCTGAGTTAAGCGTTAAACAAATAAGAAAAAATTCTGCCACCATCAAACATGGGTGTAAACTTTATTTTGCCCGGCAGTTGGTTTGAAAGATGACTGAGTTCACAGGAAAGGTGCGTTTTCTCTGCCTCTGAAGATACAGGTAAAACTGTGGTCCATATACCGCAACCCTTCACCTGGCGTTTTAAAGTGCTCTAGAGACAATACCATAGCAGCTGCAGATATTGCTGTAGTTCTAAGTCAGTCATCGTCAAAGGAAGGTATGCATGTTCCCATGCTCCTTACCTTGTTGTGTGGCCCTGTATGTGTCATTGTAAGTATGGTAAGCCTCTACATGGGACTTGATGATGTTGTGAGCAACCTCATACACGATCGTATTGTCTTTGATACCAGGTGCCATGCTGCCAGATTCGTAGCCTACCCAGGACACCACAAAAGGCTCGTTGAATGTGATCCAGTGTTTTACCTAGCATGAAATATTATAATAAGTTCAACTTACCACTTTGGAAATACTTTTGCTCCTGGCTCGGGGTACACGGACACAAATGGTACACCCCCAGGAATAAGCTTACCAGGAATTTATCTTTACGCCATGTTTATTGAGTAAACTACCATCAAGTTCAAATTATGGTACGTATCCAGTAAACTACGTTTATAACGAACACGCTTATAACGAACTGCGGTTATAACGAACTTATTTTTTTGGTCCCGAGCATTTGCTGTACGAATACTTTATATGCTTATAACGAACTAAAATTAATGGTCCCTTTGAGTTCGTTATAACCGTAGTTTACTGCATTACCATAATTTGAAAACAAAGGGAGATTGACATGCCAAGCATATGTCGCCATATAGTCGGGTAAGATGTAGAAGAACATTTAATTAAAGTAAATTAAATATGCTCCACAAAAAGTAGGGAATCACGAAGTATAAATGCCATGATGTTAAAGTCAACTTTGTAAAGTACTGCCAGAAATAGAACGGTTTTGGAACCAAAATCTAACGCCCTCAACATACCAAAGCCATGCAATTCCTCCGTGAATGGAGAAGGGGTCATTCTAACGCTTCGGTGAAAGGGCGACAAGTCGCTCTGGACTATTTGTATTGTTGATGTTATTCACGGCAACATGTAAGCTCTACTCCACTCTTGCATTAATGCATTATTTGTGATGTCATTGGGAATGCGAAATTTGATGAACGCCAAAGGGATATTGACATGCTTACAACTGGGAGAAGTAGCTATTATGTTCCATGTGTCTCAGTTTGCGATTTGCAGACTTTGCAAATTTAAAATCAGATCTTAGTTCTCGCTATCGCTAAACAAAGATCTTAGGACATCCCATTACGGGTCACGTCAGAACGACCTTTCATCCAACCAATCAAAGCGTCGCTTTCCGACAGTGTGAATGTGTTTTCTCATCATGCAGCCTCGAAAACGTTAACACGAGGAATTCCGCACGACAGTTACAGCCAGTACTAATTCCGTCAAAATTATCGCTTCCGTGGGATAAACATATGAACGGAGGAGGCTTTGCACAGTACGTGGGAAGCACTGCCATACAATCTCAACCATATATTAGACATGCCGGAATGTTCGTTTCCTCAGTTTTCAAAATTTTAATCGAGAACTGTATCAACATAATTTTCAAGCGTAGTCTGAAATGGAAATCGCCAGGTTGAAAAGAGTGCCGTAAAGCTCGAGAAAGCTGCTTTCTAATTGGCTGATGTCGACTTCTTGTTATTCATTTCAATGGTCTGTCAAAGTTCGGCAGCAAGAACTTTGATCTGATTTGAATGAGATAGTGCTCAACATTATTCAATAAATCTTTCGAGCGTACCCAACAAAGAACAAAATATACAATGATGAATGTTTGACTCCAACTTACCAAATGACCAAACCGTCTGAAACACAGTTCAGCATAGTTGTTGAAATGCTGTATCAGGGAACTATTTTGCCAGCCGCCGTACTTCATTAAGCCTTGTGGAAGGTCCCAGTGGTAAAGTGTCACTAGCGGAGTGATATTGTACTTCTTCAGTTCAGTCAAGACATTGGTGTAGTGCTCGATGCCTTTCTCGTTGATGGTGTTGTTGGTACCATCAGGCATGATGCGTGTCCACGCAAAGGAGAAACGGTAGTGGGACACCTGACAACATTAAAGCGTGAATGAGTATCGTTTTAAGCAGCCACTAGCACAATCCAGCTGTATTCCAGTTTGTTTGTTTGTTTGTTGTTTACCACCGCACTGAGCAATATTCCAGCTATATGACGAGGGACTGTAAATAGTCTGGACCAGATGATCCAGTGATTGATATCATGGATTCACGCAATTTGGACAAGATGGCATGCATCAACCAACAGTCCATGTATAACTTGTCATATTGAATGGGTTGTCCGCTGCTATCATATACTGATAGCAAGGCTTTATAACATTAATTAAGATATTTTCGCATCGTAAGTCTCATATATTAGGAATATATATTGTTATCTATACTTTTTATTTATAATTTATGTAAGGGTAATAAATAGTCTCTACGTCATTTAATGTCAGTCTTCAAATAATCGAAGTTTAGAAATCGCGTAGGAATACAATGACTCAGTGAACCACTATATCTGCTATATAGTGCTTATGATTTATAGCCAGGTTTGTCTTCATAAGCATTCGCACATAGGAAATTGTCTAAACTTGTTTAGAACGTTGTGCAAAGGGTTTTTGAGCACGTAGGCATCGTATCAGTGCGTATAACTAAAATCTAGTAGTCCGTCCATGTGACCTCATTTGAATAATTATCGGAATCCGAACATTTCATAAGAGTGTTTATGAATCAATATCACATAGTGATTGATACCAGGTGTTCGCGAAAAGTTGAGCATATTACCCTCTTTGAGTATTTTCAAAACAAACTACACCACTTACCCCGAGCTCCCGCAACAACTGCACATCTTCCTTGTAGTGGTGGTAGTCGTCACCGGCGATATCACCGTTGCTACCGTCGGCAATGTTCCCTTTCACATGGCTGTACACGTCCCATATACTCTCCCCTTTACCTGTTGACAATCACAGTCTTATGAAGAAAAAAAACCTAGTTGATAATAAAAGAAGTCATCGTCTAAAAATACCAAACAACATTTATGTCATTGGAAAATACTGTTACAATTTTGCGTTGACATACAGATGTTATCCAAGAAGGTACACCCTGTTGATTGTATACCCCCTTTGTCTGGCAGAGATATTTACAAAACGAAATCGAAACATGTAATTCATTGGTGTGACCAAAGTTAGGAGTCATGGTCCATGGTGTTACTCTATCTCATCACAACTCAGAGAAAGCAGTCTATTAGAATCCTATGAATATCTGTTCTCCGCAGCGTTGGGGTTTAAAAATAAATAATTTGTTCCAGAATTTACAGTAAAATAAATAATCTTTCTTCAGGCTATATATATTTGCAAAACAAGCTATCCTTAGGACATGCATGTTGGAAGTCTTAAAAATAAATTTGCACTACGATCAATTAATGTTCGGCTCCTCTATGTATGCTCGGAATCAGTGACAAAACATATTCTGTCTCTCGCAAAAATCCCATATTGTGCACTCCAGTGATTAATAATTATATTTATTCCTACCATCCTCATTCCAGGCGCCTTCTATCTGGTAGGCGGAGGTGGCTACTCCCAGAGCAAAGTCATCAGGGAACTTTCCCAGGAGAAAAGTATCATCAGAAACCTTGCCATGGACGACTTGCAGAACCGACAAGGCAATAACGAATATCACCCTCTTCATTCTGAAAACATAAATACCTATGAAAGCATGTGCAGGCTTTCAAAATAGATATCGCCGTGATATAAATGGAATATTATTATTTTTAAAATTTAAAACAAAACACAACGCTGAATAACAAACATGTTGTGTGCACAACGAATGAACTAATGGTGATTAACGGTCATGCTATTATGTTAATATCATCATATATTATATATTATGTTTAATATGTTATACTGATCAAATATGTTAAATTAAATGAAATAAAATCAAATATGTAAGAAACACACAACTCTTTATCAACTGTTATTTTTCATAATAACTCAGCTTACCAATTATAAGCATGTCATAAGATAAGGGTTGTGTTTGGTTATAAATGTTAAATATATTTGACTGTAACTTGAGCTGCAATTACTTTATACATACATACATACATACATACATACATACATACATACATACATACATACATACATACATTGTCTATTTGCAGCTTACCATCTCTGTAGGGATTACGGATACTTGTTAGGGGTTGTCTCTCATGCAAGAGCGAGACAGTAAATATTTATTGGTACACGGACTGACCACTGAGAGGCGCATCGACGTCGGCATGTACTGGCCCTGCTATCTTAGTTCAACATTGCCACAAAGTAAACTCAGCGGCCTTGCTTGTCCTGGTTACTGTGTGTGTACACGAAGAGCAACCATAGGGTAGAAAGGTCACCATCTCATTTGCATGTCCTTTTCAGACTTACGGGTTTTACTGAGTATTTGATGCCTAGACGGAACCGACGGCGTTACCCAGAGGTTTCAAATGTCACAAATCTCGGGCACTGAATAGTCATTAACAACCGCAAATTTGAAAACACATGCATGTTATCGACATTGTGAGTGAGTATTGTTTTACGCCGCTTTTAGCAATATTCCAGCAATATCATGACGGGGGACAACAGAAATGGGATTCACACATTGTACCCATGTCGGGAATCGAACCCGGGTCTTCAGCGTGACGAGCGAACGCTTTAACCGCTATGCTACCCGATCGCCCCTATAGACATTGTGAAATGTAAACGTTATCAGTAACTTTTCTGAAGCACACACTCACTCTCTATGAGAACTCGCACAGTTATGCGACAGATATGACGTCATCATAACGTCATTAAGTCATGATACAATGGATGATGTTCAATGCTTATGAGATAACAGACCGTGTCTGTTTAGCAGACAGTAGACAAAAGCAACTAAATCGACATTGTTCTGATAAGTATTGATTAAACTTAATCAATTAACTCGATTATTGCTGAGTACGGCGTAAAACAACAAACCAACCAAAACCAACCCTATACCTTGTACATATATTTTCACAGAAGTGTTCATCTTTTAACCAATCCATTTCATAAACAGCTTGATATATACATTAAGCCTTTGATTTGGATTATGCAAATGAATATAACTTAAAAGTTATATAACCCTGAATACTAACTATCTGGAATTGACATTGAATATATGGCGTACATATATATATATATATACACGCCAACGCCAGATTATCTGACCATCTGGAGGATTCCATTTGGAGTGAAGGCACAATAATGCTGAAACTATGAATGGATCACTGTGAATCAGTGATGACTCCAGGTGTTCGCGAATAGGGTAAGCATTTCCCGCTCTACCAACAGCACCATCGACTCACAAAATTTGCAAAAAAACGTAAGTTGTTTTTGTTGCCTAACGCCACACATCAGTGTCCCTGCCATACGATGGCGGCATGTAAACAAGCTTTGACCCGAAAATCCAGTGACAGAAAAGCGGGTTTAATTATTTTGCTGACGATGTGTTAATTCTGAATAACGTCTATTGCGTACATGTAAAACGAACACGCTTACCTGCCGCTACCAACTCACATAGAATATGTGGCGTGTTATCAAAATCAAGGTAATCGCCAAGGACTAAACAACAGGTCAGAACATTTTTCTGTTTCTTTCACGCTCAACATGTGTCCCGTTCACGATTCTTCATCGTGACGTTCAAGGTTTAAAGGCGTGGGTTTATTAGAATCACAAGCTGGCTTTACATAGAAACCTAGTTATGACCTGCCCCGTTACCGGTCACCTTATGTTTGCACGAACACCTGGTGTCATCACTGATTTCAGTGATCCATTCATAAAACAGTAACCGCTGGTTTGCTTTTTACGCCAATCGGAATCTGTTTTGGCGGTTAACCGAAACTGATTATTCTCTGGCGTTGACGTTGCTGTGGCGTTGGCAGTTGGAAATTGGACTTCAAAAAGTTCAAACTTTTAAAGGCTGAAAACAGTCGCCAGTTGTGAGATACTCATTAAGATGAGTGGGCACGGGTGGCCCAGTCGTCTAAGGCGCCGCGATTCGCTGTGCAGAGTTGCGTCCCTTTGGCACGCCAGAAACCTATGATTGTGGGTTCAAATCCCGGTTCGCCCCGATTATGTTTCTAGGTTTGTCAGCACCATACCCGTGCTCGTGGGTTTCATCGAGGTGGTAAACGTCTGAGACCTGCATCACTTCGGGCTTTCCTCCCACATTAAGCTGACACGCCGCGATATAACTGGAATACCGTTAAAAGCGGCGTTAAACCCAACTCACTCACTCATTAATATGATGCATGTAATACGCCTATGATACCCGTATCACTCACTCACTAGGCTGAAACAGTCGCCGAAACACTGCAAACTCAACGTCTAAAACACAACCATGATGCCCGTATCAAATACATGCAGATCCCCATCGAATAACCATATCTTGATCGTTTTATTTTAGCCACCATCAAACAAACATGCGCGTATACTTTCCTTCGCCAGGCAGTTTATTTAAATGTACGAATCCTGCAGTCCAACAGTCCCAAATTAGTCTCGCCAAAGACACAAGCCGCTTAAGGCGACTAGAGTTTATATACCAGTAATTGTTAACCGGTGACTCGGAGGACTATCGCCCCGCAACTCTGAACTGAACCTATATTTGCACTCAGGCTGCTATCAGCGGCACACAAACATGTACAATGTACATGCAAATATAGAACAAATACCAAATATCTTTGCCGAGCATGCATGCATTTATGTACAGATTCACTCATGTAACAGTATATATGCAATTCAATATGGAGAGAGTTACTTGAAAGGTTCAACAAATCATGAAAGAAAATATATATTTCCCTTTATGTTCATAATCGTGAGGGGGGTGGGGTAGCCTAGTTGTTAAAGCAATCGCTCGTCACGACGAAGACCTGGGTTCGATTCCCAACGTTGGTACCATGTGTGAAGCCCATTTCTGTGATAGATTTGGAATATTGCTAAAAGCGGCGTTAATCCATACTCACACACTTGCTATTGAAAAGTAAATTCATTTTATACATATTCGGTTGAATGTATTAGCATCTGTGTAAAATTGTATCATTTCTTTTCCTTGAGATGGACAAATAAACAAATAATGGCATTTATAACCTATGTCATCTTTCGGGTAAAGTTTTCTTTCTCCATCTTCCAATTTTAATAGGTAGATTATAACAGCACTTTCATCAGTATATCACAGGCGTTTTAGCTTGGCGTGAGGGGAGTGAGTGAGTGAATCGGGTTTAACGCCGCTTTTAACAGTATTCCAGTTATATCACGTCGTGTCAGCTTAATGTGGGAGGAAAGCCCGAAGTGATGCAGGTCTCAGACGTTTACCACCTCGGTGAAACCCACGAGCACGGGTATGGTGCAGACAAACCTAGAAACATAATCGGGGCGAACCGGGATTTGAACCCACAATCATAGGTTTCTGGCGTGAAACATTACAAACGTTATCAAAACGTTACTGGGCTGAAATAGGGCGGTGGGATAGCCTAGTGGTTTAATCGTTCGCTCGTTACGTAGAAGGTTCTGGTTCGATTCCCCACATGGGTACAATGTATGTAGGTCATTTCACTCACTCATTCACTCACTCACTCACTCACTCGGCTGAAAACAGTAAGGCCAAAAAAAACACAACAATGATATCCGTATCAAAAACATCACCATCGAATAACTATTTCTTGTTTGTTTCATTTTTAGCCACCATCAAACATGGGTGGGTACGTTCTTTTGCCCGGCAGTTTACTTCACCCAGATCTTACACCCAGCAGATGATACTCAGAGATATCCTGACATGGGTGTTTATCGATTAATCATCAGTGATAATACACCTGTCATCCGACAGCGATAGAATACCTCGGCATCCGGACAACGTGGCCACTTTAGTCTGAGTAGAATGATTTTGCGCTTTAACTGATGTATGAATCTACAGACTACGTGGGTCTCAAACGCAACCGTTTTATGTCCTTGAACTGTTTTTTCCTGTTCGTGCAAAAATCAATTTGAATCGTAATCTGTACTATTTGCCAACGTTTGAGTCCTCACTCCGTGTTATCAACGTTAGAGCATGGATAACTACATGAATAAAATACAACATGTATCAAGTGAGTGGGTATGGTTTTACGCCGCTTTTTGGAATTTTTAAGCAATGTTACGGCGGGGGACACAGAAGTGGGCTTAACACACTGTACCTATTTAGAGAACTATTGTCTTGGGCGTGACGAGCGAACGCTTTAACCACTAGGCTACCCTACGTCGTATATATGTCAACTACACTATTCAAGAGAGTGAGTGAATGAATGACGTTGCAGTCAGCAATAGCCCAACGTATTCACGGAGGGCTCATAGGATCGAATCTAGACCAGACAAACCTGATCCTAAGGGTAACAACGACCTAAGTATTTTACGATAAACATAGGTTACTGGGGACCATTTTTACAACCAATTCCTCACGGGGGACAATGTGCTCAGTCGGATTTATTCACACGTTTGTTGTTCATTGGTTCTGCATCCGACGTGGTGTAATGGACGCTTCATATGATCGATCTGCACAAACGTCCAAAATGCGTCGATTGTATTCTTGTAAGGAACGAAATCAATTATGACGATTTTGTGTCGTATTTCCATCATATTTAGATGTTGGGCTAACAAGAGACTCACTCTAAAACAACCTCGTATCTTTCTGCACCTGCAGCTCGAATGCCAAGTACATACAGTGTAAGTGATTGAGTATCAACAAAACGTACTATAATTCCGTTTTAGATATTCTCTGGTCAGCTCTTGTTCAAATAAGAAAGACAAGGTTACATTTAGTGGGAAAATATATAGTAATAATATAATGATCCCATATTGTGACGGAATAGGTCTTCAGCAACCCATGCTTGCCGTAAAAGGTGAGTATGCTTGTCGTAAGAGGCGACAGCCTCGCTGACTTGGTTGATGCATGTCATCGATCCCAATTGCGTGGATCGATGCTCATGATATCAATCACCGGGTTGTCTTGTCCAGACTCGATTATTTACAGACCGCCGTCATATAGCTGGAATATTGCTGAGTGCGGCGTTAACCAATAAACCAACAAACCAACCATATTGTGACGGATATGTATAATTAGTGCAGATGCTCCTGGGGAGTCCTGATTAGAATACTATGTCCTATCTACGCTTGTCGATGTGACTTAATGGATCGGGTGGTCAGTTTCGTGACTCAGTTGATTGCATGACAGTGGTGGGTACCGCTGTTCATCATTCCAATCACTGTTTCGTCTGGTCCAGACTTGATTAGGTACAGATTCTCATCATATATAACTAGAATATTTACACACAAACAAATTTAAAGGAACCAACAAAGCATACAGAGAAAAGTTATTATATACAATTCCATATTCAGTCTACACAATCATACTACTTACACCCGGACAAAGATCCGGGTCAAAATTGGTCTTCAGCAACCCATGGTTGTCGTAAGAGGCGACTAACAGGATCAGGTGTCCATGCTCGATGACTTGGTTGATGAATGTCATTGTATCCCAATGCGTAGATCGATGCTCATAATGTCAATCACTGGATTGTCTCATCCAGACTCGATTATCTACATACCGCCGTCATATTGCTGGAATTGCTAAGTGCGGCGTTAAACAAAAAAACATACAAACAAAACTTACACCTGATGATTAAAACTAAGTTAACATTTTAAGTTGTCAACCGATCTCGATGGGTATATGGTGTGATGTACCCGGTGTGTAAGCCTATGTACCCCGAACCCTCAGGCCACATGGTCCGAGGGATTGGCTGACAACGAATTCATCTCACCCACTTTCATTCATACAGGCCTGGAGTATATACTCACCGTCGAAAGAAACGCGAGCCATAGAATCATGTAGAGAAGTACAGTAAACTACGGTTATAAACTCAAAGGGACCACTAATTTTAGTTCGTTATAACCGTAGCTCGTTATAAGCATATATATAGCATAACGACAGCAAATAGTCGGGACAAAAAAGTAGGTTCGTTATACTCGTCAGTTCGTTATAAGAGTGTTCGTTATAACCGTAGTTTACTGTATATGCGTTGAGAAGAGACAGGGTCTCTCTTTTCTTATCACGATATTCTGCACGTGATTTCTAATCTGTACACGATAATCCTGTGCGAAACAAACGGTGCATCTCGAGTCATGGATCTATGACGTCACATGTGATGCGTCCATGAGCATCGGTTCACACAACATACCAGAATGTTCGTTTGTGCATCGATCCAATCTAATATCTCTTGAAAATGAGTAAGTCATATCTTAACCAACATGTACGACATTCACGTTTCTTTTGATGGAGAGTATATGTCCTAGGTTTCACCAAGTAAAACGCTTTGATTCAGCCATTTTGACATCCAGCAGACCACGCAAACGTAGCGAGTTACTCCCCTTTACCCCTTCGCATAAACATCGGTTCATTTCAGCTCAACGATACGAGAGCAACGATGTGAGATAAGCACATTACCTGTGGTGTGTACCGATTAACTTCTCAGGGTACATGACAGGCTACGATAATATTTGCCCGCTCCTTAGCCAATCCGAAGGTTGTATTTTAATAATAGGTGAGATAATAGTTTTTTTGTTCGGAGAACGTATGTCTAAAGGGGACTTTTAACAAACATGAAGTGAAAAGGCTCTACTGTACTGATCAAGTCGACATGAGGAAAACGGGCTACATGTATGGTGAAAAAAATCATCATATTTCATCCAATCCATGAACTATTACACATATGTCCTTTGATCGCATCTAAATTAAATTAAACATTGTAAAAAACAATAAAGATGATATGATCAAATAACTATCTCCCGCACTCCTTTTTATGCTAGGGTGATACGTGTAGGTGAGTGAGTGATTGATTGAATGAGTGAGTTGGGTTTAAGACCGCTATTAAACGTTTTCCAGTTTTAATCCAGTTTTTTTCCAGTCAGGTTAATGTAGGGACAAAGCCCGAATTGATACAGGTCTCCGCCGTGAAATCCACGAGCATGGGTGTGGACCTGTCCCGGAAGAAACGGGATTCGAACATACGAATCATAAGTTTCTCGAGTGCCCAACGTAAGAAAATCTGCACAGCGAATTGCGGCCCCTTAGACGATACGTGCAGGTACATTTTGTATCCATTATTGTGGGATAAGTATTACCATATACATGTTTCAATGTCTTCATGTGATCAAATGCATTTTATGACGATGTTAAGAATGAGGGGAATTTAAGGTGAAATGGGGTTTTAACGTCGCGTCCAAGAATATTGCACTTATATAGCGACGTGCATGCACGTGTGTGTGTGTGTGTGGCTGCTTGTACTAGTCCTGACTGACAGCACACTGAGATACCATGACGCAGTTTAACATGAATACCCCACTCAGACACAGTATACTGACTCCGAGCTGACCAGTCCTTGTTTCAGCCCCTTAATGCCGAGCGCTGGACAGGGTAACAACAAGTACGATCTTTAAGCGTCTTTTGGTTTGACGCGGCCGGGGGTTGAACCCCGGACCTTCCGCTCTCGGGGCGGACACTCTACCACTAGACCACGGAGGCGGTCTGTTAAGAATGAACAAACATAAAAATATAAAAGTTACGCACATCAAGCGTACCGGCATGTGAATTAATATCGTACATATTTGAAATTCGTGTAAAATCCGACTTAAATGAGTAAGTATGAGTACAATAATATACATGTGGATTAAAACGATCTCTTTCTTCTAGAAACACATTCTTGGAGTTGTGGAATATTCAACTCCACAAGGCTGAAGCGCTAGAGACATTGCTCGGTTCACCAGGAGCGATAGGGAGTGTTATCACGCCACAGTAGCATTAGCTTGAGACACTTCGCAGATGCAGTTTTGCAAGGACCCATTCTTGGTCATCGTGTAGGGCACAGCAAAAAATACTGTCTGAGCAGGAAGTGGGGTTGATTTTAAGATGTTATTTCACAGCCTCCTCCTGTGCAGTACAGGCTTTGCCTTGTGTCTTTCGTCAACAGAGGACAATGGGTATCATTTTGGACAGTTTCCTGACAATTTTGTTTGGGGAGCAGGAACGTCAGCGGGCCAGGTAGAAGGGGCGTGGCGAGATGACGGTAAGTGGAAATCTTTCCAAATACACTACAATGATGTATCACTGCACTCGGTTGAAATGTTCACTCAGGAATGTTTATTATGTTACCAGTAGAGCGTTATTCCACACATGTACGCATGAGAATACTATTTAATTAGATGGTTGTTTTATGGTGTAGAGATGCAAATACGATAAGAAGATGCCTTCTTTAAGTGGCATTTAGAAGTTGGTGTGATGAAGTAAGACAAATTCTATGGATGAACAACTTCTTTATTACATAGAACTTGTCTTACTTGATAAGAAGATGGTTTGTTCTCTTAAAGCGCCTGTCTTGAATAAGATTGATGAAAGAGGACGTCACACACTGAAAGTATAAAAAACATTTCACTGGTGAATGAGTTTGGAATCAACACTTGTTTGTTCATTTACTTGTATTTTGATAACGAGGCACGTCACATTAGAAGATCTTTTACCCACAGCGTATGAATATAAAGCGACAAAAGCCATTTCCATAATCACGATAAATTTCTACGAATCATGTGGTCAAACATTTCGAATTCGGGTCAAGGTCGATGTGTTTCTCACTGATTTTGCCCCAAACTTTTCTTTTCAATGTAATATTTCTTTAAATATCCTTTACATAAGTACAGTTCCTTGACTCGCCAGTGCTCGTGGGTTTCACCAAAGAGTAAACCTGTTTGATTGTGCAGCTTTAAAAGGAGACTTGAAGCGACGTTAAGGCAGATTTACCGTAAACTATAAATATGGGATTAAATCATTTATTTAAAAACACGTATCGTGAAGGGAAAAAATCTAATGGTAATATATGTGGCAAAAACGTCATAGCCTACCCCTATACCGGAAACTACCGAGAGTCAATGAGCAGAGTTGTCATCACGCGACGTGGCGTCATAGAAGAGAGTTGACTTGCAGATGATCACTGTTTCTGTATGGTGTTTGGTAGATTAGTAGCCTTCGCCATGGCATTACCTGACAGTGCCGACGATGAAAACGTTGAATTTTTGCTCAATGAACTTAGACATATTCATCCATATTGACATGAGCTTGTGGTTAGTCAGCGAGGAAAGTGAGGAAGATCTACCGAGTGAAAATAAATCAGTCTGATGTCAACACGTAAAGACTAGGGATGCAATCTGGTGTTAAACGCTTTCCTGACATTTCTAAATAAAATAGATTTTTATCAATAAAAGAATGTGTAAAACGTGTCAGGTGTAGATTGGCGCTTAGCATTCGTCAAAACATTGATAATTGTGTTGTCTTTATGCCAAACAATGAACATAGGGATATTTAGGCTAAATTTGTCTTGAAAACAAATGAATGTTATGTGTGAAAATTGTATTATCTGGTGATTGTTAAAACTGCCGTGTAAAATGTTACTAGGGTTGATCAAAAAGTTCTAAGCCTAACAAACAAAACCAACATTTGTGGAAGTGTCTTTCAACAAAATATGCCTGCTTTTCAATACACTTCTCATATCGATAGTGAAGATTTTCAAATCCAGCCAGGAAGAAGGTTCTGAAGCCACCTTGAAAAACCCATTCACGGAAGCTGTGAGGTCATCGTTGTAGTCAAGGTGTTCTTCCAGTTTAGGAAACAGGTGGAAATCACTTCGTGCCAGGTCTGCGGAGTATGGAGAGTGAGGATGCTCTTCGAACCCACATTGTCACACAACAACCTTTGCAAGTCGAGCAATGTGAGAAGAGGCATTGTCGTGAAATAGTAGAACTCCAGCATTCACCATTCCTTGCCGCTTTTCTCTTATAGAATCTCTTAGGCGATGAAGTAAAACAGCTAAGTAGGCACAGGTAATCGTCTTTTGATTTTCTAAGTAATCAACAAGGATCACACCCTTTGCATCCCAGAATACAGCAATAACTTTCCTCACTGATCTTGACGATTTGAATACATTTGGTGCCGGAGAAGTGGAATGGTGCCATTCCATGGATTGACGTTTTGACCCGCCTCAAATCTCATTTTGAATTTGACGAGACCCCCCTCAATCAGCTCTATATTTTTTGTCTGGCAGTATCAGTTCTTTTTTCCTTAAGATCACAATTTAGAATGTTTGGCACCCAACGAGCAGATATCTTATTCATCTATGAATGATCATGAATAAAAGTTTCACTGGATTCATGGCTTTGGCCTGTGTCTTCCTCAAGTTCAGCAATGGTAATATGTCTATCTGACCGTATAAGTTTTTCTATCTCCTTGTTTGAATCTTCATTGATGGAAGCTGAGGGACGTCCAGACCTAGGTTGCTCCCCCAGCCTTTAACATAGCTGCCTTATGGCACTTATCCCCATACACTTGTGACATGCGGTCATGAATATTTTTAGGGGAGTTTTTTAGATGACTGCTTGGTTCTCGTTCTTTTCCATTTCTTAGTCCATTTGGACCCCTATCTGGCTGTCACTAAAATACAAACGGCCCCAACAGATCAAATACACTTGCAATGAACTATTTGAACAATGTACTACATTGATAATTTCACTTTGTTGTGACCCATAGTCGAAAGTTAGTCAGCTAGGAAAATTTTGACCCTCGTATTTAAATTTTTTGGTGTGCAGCAGCCACGCCAGTGACGTAATGGGGTAATGAGAAACATATGACGCGGAGATCCACTTTACCACGGACCATTGAAGATTGTTAACCCAGACGTCATCGTGTCAGTTTTTAACTTAACAATATATTGAGAGTATCATGTCAAGGTTCTAAATATGAGTTAAAACTTTAAAATATGCTAGACGTGTGGGTACACCCCACCCCACTTCTATGTGCATGGGGGTTATGTTTTGAACCTTTTTACGTCATCTAATCACTATACAGATGCGTTGTGGACAAATATGTTATGTTTTAAGGAAATGATTTCTAGAATTATCTTTGTATTAACTTACAAATAATCCTAGCCCCACCATACACCATCCCCAAAATACTTAATGGTCTATTCCTCAGTACATTCAAGGTTATCAGTTTAAATTTTAGGTTGACAAATAGTTTGTCCTAGTTTTTGTTTGCCTAGAAAATTTAAAGCTCTACACAATCTGCTGGAATTGAATAAGTCGCCGTGAATGATACAATAACATGCACACTCTTCAAAGGTTCGGTGATATTTGGAATTAATATACGTAAAAGTCAATCCTCATACTCTATAAGATACTATATCAAGCTTATAGTTTTCACTCTATAACTTTTCTCGAGTTTCCAGAGAATAACAGCTTTTTAAAAACTTTCTTACATGTACAAACCAGAAAACCACATATGTATGTTTATATCAGTACTACTACTACTACTACTACTACTACTACTACTTCTACTACTACGACTACTACTAATACTACTACGACTACGATATGACACTACTACTGCTGCTATTATTACTACTACTACCACTACGACTACTACTACTCCTGCTACTACTACTACAACTACTACAACTATATATGGCACAACTACTCCTGCTATTACTACTTCTACTACTTTTACAAATATTACTCCACTTTCATGGTATGATCAATAATATAAATCCTGTTTTAGAATAAAATATAAATATCAGTCATAATGTTAAATGGTGTCAATGTGACTTTAAAAAAACACTTGTTTTGTAACTATCGTCCTAAATCAGCGAGATATCAGTGCAGTTGTTTGTTCGGCAAACACAACATGCCATGTGCGCAAAGAATCACGTGATAAACGCGCCTTTATCAACAGTTAGTCTTTGATCTCAAGGACACCATGACAAATGGTAATCCACAACGTTCTTTACTTCTTTAGACCTAGGACAAGGAACATGTATTAAATTTCACATACATAATTATCAATTTCCTAAGTTATCAAAGGGATATATAATGAAACCTCCGTAATTTGGACTGTGACATTTCAAGGGACAATATCCGGATAAACAACGGGCTTTCGTCCTTAAAAAGACGTCCCAGAAGCGTGGTGTCCGATTAAGGGTATCTGGTCTTCTGAGGTTCTTCTGTTTACGAAAAATTGAAACTGGTAGAATCAACACTTGTACATATTAAATTCTAAAAATCAAACGTCGAATAATGATATTCTCATATTGTCGTACTCTATCACTAAACACCTTCTTCAAGCTATCAGTTATATACAGAGACTCATTTCCTGATTTTTTCTATGAAAATGATTATAATTTTTACAAAATAACAACGTCAACACGGGACGAGAAGACCAGATATCGTTAGCGTGGCCAAAGCAAGGTACGGGGTTAACAAAATCATCTAGAAGTGTGGTGTCCGGATTAACGAGGGTCTGCAATTCCGAGGTTCTACCGTTTACCAATTTTTAATTAGACACTTATATGACGATAGATAAAGGGTGTAATCTTCTAAAAAGATCACTCTTATAACCGTACAACATCGTACAACCCAGGTTGTTAAGGCATAACTACTTGAATCGCAGGGGACTGCCTCCGTGGTCTTGTGGTAGAGCGTCCGCCCGGAGAGCGGAAGGTCCAGGGTTCGATCCCGGGCCGCGTCATACAAAAAGACGTTAAAAGATTGTACTTGTTGTTACCCTGTCTGGCGCTCGGCATTAAGGGGCTAAAACAAGGACTGGTCGGCTCGGAGTCAGTATACTGTGTCTGCATGGGGTATTCATGTTAAACTGCGGCATGGTATCTCAGTGAGCTAGCACTATAAATCGGCATCAGTCCGGACTAGTACAAGCAGCCACACACACACATACACGTGCATGCACGTCGCTATATAAGTGCAATAATCTTGGACGCGACGTTAAACCCAATTTCACCTCACCTCACCTTGAATCGCAGGGGTATTTAGTTAAATTAGATTGCCCCCGATGTTAACGTACGCCGTGGTAATAACGTTTACTTTATATCAAGGATCCTGCTTTTAATGTGGTAATGTACTACACATAGTTTGTATCGACCAATGTACAATGTTGTGTATATGAATGTCCACGTAACTGATGTTAGCTATACTAACATGTATTTAAACACCCTTAAAAAAATTATCCATA